TGTCACCCTCTTTTATATACCAGACTACCCTATATCTAGTAAATACTAGAGCATTCGCCAAGGTACGGGATAGTTCTAGAAACGTGGCGTCACACTAGTCATGTGACTCGCTGATGCAACAATATTCACTCTGACTGCAGTTCAATTACTCATTACATATCTTCCGTCACGGTTTGAACGTCTTATATACACAAGACTAACACATATCTAGTAAATGCTAGGCCATTCTTGAAGTAACAGAATATTTCTAGAAACAGGTGGCGTGATAGTAGTTACGTTATTCTCGAACCTTCGTGAATTGTCGGGAGATTACTATATATAGCGTAGTCTTGCATATATAAGACTGGCCACGAAGCGATGAGGAGGTGATGAGTAATTGAATGTATGGGGCAGAATATTTTTGCCCTCGTGAGACCTTTATTATAGAGCGACTGTTGAAATGAAGTGTATCGTAAAGTTGTATTCGGAAAGAATAAATCAGTTTTATTAAGAAACTACTTGTGTCGCTAAAGTTTCGTCGAACGAATTTTCGGAAAATTAACTAGCCAATAGAGACGTAACAAATTGGTGTCAGAGAGTGGGACAAAAAATGGAAACGAGAAGCGGCAAATCAAACTACAGCATAGCAGACTTGATGGCAGCAACACAAGAACAGCAAAAGAAACAAGAAGAACGAGAAAATAAACAAGAAGAGAGATTACAGCAGTTGTTGGAGGAAAAAGAAAAGAAACAAGAAGAGAGACAAAAACCGTGGCAAGAAAATCTACAACAGTGGCAGCTCGAACAACAAAATAAACAAGAGAGATTACAGCAGTTGTTGGAGGAAAGAGAAAAGAAACAAGATGAGAGACAACAGCAGTGATAGCTCGAACAACAAAATAAGCAAGAGAGATTACAACAGCTATTGGAAGAGAAAGAAAATAAACAAGAAGAGAGACTTCAACAGTGGCAAGAAGTACAAATGGAAAACATTAGTAAATTTAAAAGCGAATTAGATACATTAAAGGATGATCTATTGTCTTTTACAGAAGGAGGATACATTGACCATCGACTTAATCAGCCCCAGACAATAGCAAGCACCTTCCAGAGCCCGCAGCTAAACCCTAATGTCCTTTAAGAAGTCACATCCCTGATATGAATGTCAGTAATAGGAGTGATTCAGTGTGAAGGAAGCCACAGGAAGTCGATGGGAAGGCACCGTGGGAAGCATATAGAGCACAATTTGAGCTACTGGCAGAGATGAATGGGTGGATAGAGGAGCAGAAAGCGGTATATCTGGCAAGGAGCTTGAAGGGACAACCACTGGATATACTTGGACAGTTGTCAGCAGATGAGAGACACAACTATAGAGCACTGGTAGTGGCCCTAGAGTTCAGGCACGGAACCCAAAATCAGTCAGAAGTCTACAGGGCTAGGTTTAGGACAAGAGTCTGTGCTAAAGGGGAGAGCCTGCAAGAGCTGACACAGGGCTTGGAAAGCATGGCACACAAGGCCGACCCAACTGCACCACCCGATCTCCTCAAGTTGCCATTGAGGGATCTGTTCGTAGATGCCTTGGACAGTCCCCAACTTAAGATACAAGTGAAGCAAGCACACCCCTCTACCATGCAATGGCCAGAGCTCTCGAATGTGAATCCTACGTTAAGTCCATCACAGACGTACCAAGGTTGGTACAGTCATCTGGATTCAAGGCCAGAAAAGGTCAGCTTTCAGAGGAGTTTGAGGGACTTTGGTGGTACTGTAACAAACCTGTTCTATAGCTGTGCCTGTCATCTGCTGACAACTGTCCAAGTATTTCCAGTAGTTGTCCCTTGACGCATCTGTTCAGATATACTGCTTTCTGCTCCTCTGGCCATCCATTCATCTCTGCCAATAGCTCAAATTGTGCTTTATATGCTTTCCATGGTGCCTTCTATTCGAATTCCTGTGGCTTCCTTCGTACTGGATCACCGCTATTACTGACATTCATATCTTGGATGTGACTTCTAACAGGACTGAAGATGTCTACATTAGGCTTTAGCTGCGGGGTCTGGAAGGGTTTTGCCGTTGTCTGGGGCTGATTAAGTCGATGGTTAATGTATCCTCCTTGTGTAAAAGACAATAAGTCATCCTTTAATGTATTTAATTGACTTTGAAATTTACTAATGTTTTCCATTTGTCCTTTTTGCCACTGTTGTCGACTTTTCTACAACTGTTGGAGATTTCTTTCTGTTTCCTTTCTTGTTCCAGTTGCCATTGCTGTAATCTCTCTTGTTTATGTTGCTGTTCGAGCTGCCATTGTTGCAGGTTTTCTTGTTTTTTTTCTTTTTCTCCAACAACTGCTGTAATTTCTCTTCTTGTTTCTTTTCTCGTTCTTCTTGTTTCTTTTCTTTTTCCTCTAACAACTGCTGTAATTTCTCTTCTTGTTTCTTTTCTTTTTCTCTAACAACTGTTGTAATTTCTCTTTTCGTTCTTCTTGCTTCTTTTCTTTTTCCTCTAACAACTGTTGTAATTTCTCTTCTCGTTCTTCATGTTTCTTTTCTTTTTCCTCTAACAACTGTTGTAATTTCTCTTCTCGTTCTTCATGTTTCTTTTCTTTTTCCTCTAACAACTGTTGTAATTTCTCTTCTCGTTCTTCTTGTTCTTCTTGTTTATTTTATCGCTCTTCTTGTTTCTTTTGCTGTTCTTGTATTGCTGCCATCAAGTCTGCTATGCTGTAGTTTGATTTGCCGCTTCTCGTTTCCATTTTTTGTCCCACTTTCTGACACCAATTTGTTATGTCTCCGTTTGTTGATTGATTTCCCGTAAATTCGTTCCGACGAAACTTTAGCGACACAAGTCCTTACTTAATAAAACTGGTTTATTCTTTCCGAATATAACTTTACGATACACTTAATTTCAACAATCGCGCTAAAACAAACGCTATAACAGCGAACGTGCTCAACTTCAATAATACTCTCTGACTGCAGATCAATTACTCACTGTCTACATACATTATCACGTTGTGAGCGTCTTATATATATACCAGTATATATTCCCGAAGGTTCGAGAGGTGGCGTGACACTAGTCACGTGACCTCGCTGACGCAACAATATACAAGACTACACTATATCTAGAAGAATCACGAGATTTAAGGAAAAGACGTGAATGTTCGAGAATGACGTGGCGTGATACTAATCACGTGACCTTGATGTCGTAACAATACGTACTACAACGTTCATTACTGGAGCTCATACAAATGTAGACTCGTTTCTTTATTAGATCGCGTAAAGAGGGATCCTATCCTTTCCAAGGGGATATTCAGAAACTTGTACAAGTTGGTATGAGTTAGTGGTTATGTCTCTTTAAATATGTGTACTAGGATATTCACTTAGATAACCTAAGAATTATTGAGCTCAACATGATAGAATCCTGATCTACTTGAAAGTGTTGTATTTCATTACTTTTTATTCTATCCTTGTCCTTCGCAGAATAGAAGATGGGCAGTGTCGTCCAAGATCATTACCATAATTCTTATTCATTGTGACATAAATAAAACTAATATAGAATTACCTTCATCATATTAATTCAGTACGCACTATAACGGTTGTCTCAACGACAAGCCCTGGTATTAAAATAAGGCCTTGTTTACACTGGATATAGTTGACATATTATTATATATTATTGTTTAATTTCACTAAAAAGTTGTTTTTAATAATTACTACTGTAGTCTTCTCCTGTTGATGCTATGGTCGTTTGACTTGCTACAGGATCAAGAAGACTAGGTTGCTGGTTCACCAGTTCTTCTGAATAATGAGGAAGTTAATAGAAAATATAATGCAATAGCAATTAATAAATAAATAAATAACATAATGTTAAAATCATAACATTTCCAGAACTTGGTATATTGTATAAACTTATAACTACTTATATGTCATCAGTGTTTATACAACTATTCTGTCACATTGTTCTTAGTAACTGGGCTACAGTTTAGGAAACAATGTGACATATTCATTTAGAGTTAAGGTAGATGTATTTGGTTAACGAATGAATAAAGAGCTGTTTAAATTTCAGATCTGAATTATAAAACGAAAGGCTTAAGGTTGTGTTGCAAATTGCAATATACTGCTGAACGCGTTCCATACTTTCATCTGTGGGAGCATTGTAACCGTGACAATCCATTCTGCTAATCGGTATGACTATCTTTGGGCAGCCAAGGTGGACCGATAGGTCCCTTGGTATTCCTAAACATTATGTTATGTTATTATAGAGCCCTTCCTCCTGCTGAAAGGGCATGTTCGGTGACGGGATTCGAACCCACGACCCGCAAGTTGCAAGTCGAATACCCTCATTAAGACTGTATAAAATATCGAACATAGTGTAATGTTCCATTAACCAAATACTGTTACAAGTTTCATAATGCATCACAAGATAAATTAATGTAATTTTAGACATGATAAGGTTTTATGTTATATTTAATTTAACATACTAATTTTAAATATTATATATATATATATATATAATATTACTAATATTGGAGTAGAGGTCGCATGTATATTATTACTCACATTCAACTTTCAAGCCAAGTTGGGTTTACTTATTTACTGGATATACGAAACTGTAGTGCAGGTAGTATAAATAAATAAAATTAATATCAAGTAATGTCACTGCTCATAGTCTTTTATTTTAGGTTTTGTTGTAATTTCTAACAAATTATAAATTAATTGCGGGTTGATATTTTAAACTGGAAGTAAGCGTAATAGTAATAATAAATATCAGTATTAAGTTATTAACTATTAGTATTAGACTAATGGTAATAATACTGACAGTATTACATAATATAATTTATACTAAGCCGAAGCAGTAACCTGTTGTATTACTTGAAAATGTAATACTCAAAGTAAAATTTTGAGGCCTTTTTGAGATACTTTTGTAGTGGTTATGCGCAACATTAACTTGAAAAGTTAAATTGATAGTGATACCACTGGCGTATAAAGGAATTTGAAAGGGGGGGGGGGGGAGAGCAAGACTTAATATTCATATTTGCATATAATTTCGATTTATTTTTATAATATTTAAACTTTATTATTTCCCTTACAATGGTTAAACGAGTGTTAAAACATGCCACTTTATTGACCTCACTCAGCTATTGCCACTACAGTGAAGTTGGAATTGTTGAAACCATGAATAGGATTTTAACTTTGAGTGAGTTAGATGTAAGTTAAAGCTAAAGAACACAAAACTTCAAAAATTTACATAGCGAAATTAGTAAGTGTAGGGAAAACTGGTGAAAAATAAAATACAAGCCAACGGGGACCAGTGAGTGATACTGATAGGCCTCTGATTAGCTAATGAACAGTCATTTTTGTGAAACGTTTAGAAAGACCATATACTAGGCTCAGTCGTATGTTGTAATCTACAGTTTATTAAGAGGTGTTGTTAGCTTTATTGCTGGCATTGTCATGGTCAAAGTCCATAAGAATTTTAAAGTTAAAATATACTTTATTTCATATCCCTAATTCTTCATGTTTTAAATTAAATGCAGGAAAATATGTGGGTGAATGAGATTTGAAGAAGTGATTATTAATTTTTAGAAACTCGAACCAGTGTAATATATTTCTGTATAATACACAACTTGTGTAATGAAACTTTCATTGAAAGCTAATGATTAAGAAACTGATTTTTTCAGACACAAGACCCTTTTTTTGGTTGTTTTAAGCTTCTATTAATAGCACATTGTATAATCTGATGACAGGGGTATACTATAAACTGAAGGATTATCAACTGTGTTCTGTTACCAAAGTATGACTGCTATTACATCAAGACCATCTGCATTTGGAGAAAATGGTCTGTCAGAACCTGATCAAGATGCAAACTCTACACTTACTGAACTAGACAAAGGTAAATCTTATGAAGACTAATCCTTAATGAACATTGGACTTGTCACTTAGAATATTTGGTATTACAATTAGTAAAAGTTGTAGAACGAACAATGTGTGTATTTGTGTTTTTGGTAATATTAACAAACATTTTGCCTTTGCATATTAAGTATTTTGGTAAAATCATTTTTCTTATAGTTATATGTAATATTATACTTTAGAAAAAGCTAAAAATTATTATTATTTTTTTTAAAAGGACTAAGATCAGGAAAAATTGGAGAGCAGTGTGAAGCCATTGTTCGTTTTCCAAGACTTTTTGAAAAATATCCTTTCCCAATTCTCATCAATTCAGCATGTTTAAAATTAGGAGAAGTATTTCGAGTTGGGTGAGTTTAAGTGTGTAAGGCACACACACACACAAGTTTAGAAAAGTGAGACTGACTTTTTCCATTATACCGTATCTAATCAAGCAAAATTAACATGAACGTTCTTATTTAGTTACAAGTTAAAAAAAGATTTAACAGATCTACTCAGAAATTGCATAAAGCAAATTTTAAAAAATGGCAGAGAAAAGTGTGTAGTTCTAAAAGCAAATTTATTAAGTGTATTTTATATAAGTATTAACATACTAAATACACAGTTTAAAAATATGTTGCTTTGACAATAATTTTTCCATTGCCTTTGTAGGACAAATTTTCTTCGAGTGTTAGTATTGAAGGTAATGCAGCAGAGTGAAAAGCACTTGGATAAGATTCTTAATGTGGATGAATTTGTTCGAAGGATCTATTGTGTCATCTATAGCAATGATCCTATGGCTCGGGCATTAACATTGAGGTTTGTTGGATTGATACTGTGCATACATATGTCATGCATAATATTTATTGTAGTTCATAATTGAATAGTGGTGGTTTTTTTTAGTATGGTATCTGTTAACTGTAAAAATATATTCAGCATGTAAAGTTTATCTTGATTAAGTGTTGTGCACGTTTAAAGCTGTATCCTAGAAAGAACCAGTAGTGCAGTCAATGGTAAAGTTGTCATTCATAAATTGTCCAGAAATTTGAACATTTCAGAGAATAATACAACAAATCTGCCAGATTATGTATCGTGATGCATTAGCTTTACAAAAAGAATAGTAATATATAATGTATCCTTCTTTGCTGTTGTGAATAATACATTTTGTTCTTATGTTAAGTAGAGGGAGGTGGATGATAAAAATTGATAAATAGCATTATGTTGCAAGTGAAAACAAAATATAGTTGTGTCATTGAATAGAATAAAAACGAAGTAGAAATGTACCCAGGAAGTGAAGGAAAGATAACATGTTTCATTAGAATTGTTGTAAGCATATGTTATTCCTTTGGAATTCTGAACATTTCTATTATCTCACTTACATTACATGCATGACATTACTGTTTTAGGGATAGCACACCAGTATGCTAAACTAAATCATGGTTATTTTTTACCATTTTTATGATATAAATAGAATATTATTCTAGATGTACTTGAACAGGGTTCCCAAAAGTGTACTTTTTAAGAGTAAATAAAACCAAAATTAAGAGTAACAAATATTTTTATTTTTTGCTTTTGAAGTTCATACGTTATACTGTGTTGTAGCCTACAGAATGCATAACTCTTTTTTTCATAGATTTATCTTCCTTATGTGCAAAATTTCAGTGAAAAACTCAAACACATAGCCAAGAATTTCAACATAGAAATCTTAAAAAACAATAAGATCTATTATAGTGAAAATCAAACAAAAACGTCATCTATGAAAATCCATGTTCCTGCAATGAAACATACATCGGAGAAATGGGAAGAAGACTCGGGACAAGAATAAAAGAATGTAAAGACAGCACAAGATTTATGAAAATACAAAATTCAGCCATTGCAGAACACACCATGTCAAGTGAACACAAAATAAACTGGGAAAAAACTAGAATCATCAACACAGAAAAATTTTTGAAAACAAGAAAATTAAAGAATCTTTCTACATTAACGCAAATAAGCATTCACTAAACAGAGATTCAGGATTAGAGATGAGAAATCTATGGCTACCATTGGTTGAAACCACATGCAATCTTTCCACCAATCAGAACCAGGGATAAACAAATTAATCATAATACATCCTACACAATCCACTTGGATACTATAAAGACCTGCAACATCTTACACACACTGACCTGAAGACTTTTGAAATGTCGTCCTCTACACTTGTGTTTTTTACAACAGGCAGTTGCCATCCTTTACGGTATACTCGTGCATAATTCTTTTCATGATTTATGGCATGCACATATTTTACTGATTGCAATGTTAAGCATCCCTTATGTAACGTCATATATTGTGGTGTGAGTGGTTAAAACAGGTGACCTTTGGCCCCTTTCTGGAATATAACAACTAACTACACCAATATAGTTCTACATAGGGCATCATACCGTGAAATTCACAATAATCTTTCCAAAGTCACTAAGTTAGTTACAGTATTCATTGAATGCAGATAAATGAAAAGCATTGTGTGACAATATAAGTTTTTGTTTATGTATAAAATTTTCAGAAAAAATATATAAATTTTGAGGATTGAACAACTCATGTTAGTATTCTTCTGTTTTACACAACATGTACAGTTTAAGGATATAGGAATTTCAAATCTTGCTCCAAGTAGTAAAAGTTGATTAGGCAGATTGCTACAAAATTTGAAAAGTCAGCTTAGACCCTGAGTGTAGTTAATGTATCATTTCATTCTGGTTGTCAGTGATGTAGATACAAATTTTATTGTATTCATAAAGCTATGTTGCTCTTCCTTCAACAATGAAAAAAAAATAATCCTAGTATAAGGATGAAATTCTAAAAAAAAAAAAGTAAAGGTTCTTATCTAGGTAAAGAGGACCTGTTTTTGAAAAAGAAAAAAAATCTACATGTAAACATAAAAAACGACAGTTTGAGTGTCAAGGAATAAATGCTTTCTGATGGAACAGTGGAATGCAGGAGCATCTGAAAAAGCAGATCAAATAAGTGCCAGTACTAGTACCACCTTAACAAATAAGTTCCGATACTCAATACCTGTGAGTACCAGCAGAATTTCACCCCTGTCATAGTATATGTGCACAGTTTATACTTGAATTTAGTTATTTACCTTAGCAACTTAGTTCTAATGCCTTTTTTACAGTTTTTTGCTATCTTTACTAAACATGCTTTGCTTAATTGATTATCATGAACATTGTTGTTATACATAACAATCCCATTTTTTATATGTTGATAATAAAAAAAAGTCAAAGATATTCATTCAAGTCATAAAATAAGTTTCTTTCTTCGTAATAGCATTAGTACATCCTACCTTTTGTGTTATGATAAAAATATTTCTTAGTTCTGATTTTATCTTTAGTAAATCTGCATGCCTTAAACTATACATATTAATATAGTTATTATAAACAAACTTTATTATAAGATAGAACTTGGGTAGTCTATATCTTTTGTGATTGTATTCGTGCAGCTTTTCTGTAAAACATTCATTAGATGGCTTAGCATGCACATAATTTAGTACAAAATCAACCTGTGAGTGAAGTTCTCTCTCTCTTTATTTTCCACTGTCAGTTTCTTCGAAAAAATTACAAGTGAGATAATTAAGCATTTTTTGGTCATAAAGATAATTTTTTGCATTAATCTAGGACCCTTGGAAGTATAGCAGCCATTGTTGCAGAAAGGAAGAATGTTCATCACAGCATCCGAACCAGTTTAGATTCACATGACCTTGTGGAGCTGGAAGCAGCTATATATGCAGCTGGTTGTTTAGCTGCTCAGTCCAAGTATGTATAAATTTATTTATGAGACTTTCAGTTGCAAATTTTTATTTGGTAACAGCATTTCTATTAACTTATAAATGCCAGTCAAAGACTGTTTCAAAACCTATTTGATCAGCAGAGACAGAAAACATCAGTCAGTCTGACTGGCTGCAAAACCTCTGTGAGTGGCATCTGTCTTAACACATGCATATTAAGTCAGTTTTAATTTCAAAAAGTAGTAGTAGAGACAATTCTCATTTTCATTTTTCTGGGTGACGTGATACTTTTGAGTTTTGATTTCTATATTTCAGAATTTTCTAACATGAAAAATAGGTTGATGTAATTTCCAACCAGTTAGAAACACAAACTACAGATATAATTATAACCATAAAATCTAAAATTTGAACCTCCTACCTTCTTGATTTACTGAGATATAGATAAATTCTATTATTTTTACGACTTTTGAGATTGTTTGTTAATCAACTTTACATGGTTGATGGACATATTTGTAACCAATGGAAAGAGAAGATTATCCTCTATATAAATTCTATAGGTCATTGTTTAGTTTTAGGGTCATAGACCGTTAGTCAACAGATGTGCCTGATAATTGGTGATCATATTATAGTGCTCTGAACACTAAAGGAATTTTTTAAATCTATTTATAACTGACCTAGAAATATATATATATAAATTATAGTGACTGATATATTTTTCGTGTACTAAAATGCATATTTGAAAGATCTATGATTTCTTTTTTGGACATCCAAATTTGTGAGACTCAAGAACTCTTACAGAAGTATGTCTAAAATTTTTACTGGAGTGCAAAAGAGGAAACAACTAATAAGCTAATGTTGTGTACTTTTTACAAAGAGATTACAGCTCCAGTGGGTACAAAGAACAACAATAAAACCATTAAATTAATAGGAACACAGATATGAAAAACTTTTCATGTTCATTTAGGAGGTTCTAGAGGTTTTGTAAATTAAATACAAAAATTTTAAGATGAAAGAAAGTATTTTCATACTTAGAATGAAAATCACCCTTCACTCAGTAATAGCATCACAAGTTCACTGAGAAATCTTTAGTGAAAATACTTAATTAACAAATCAGATTTTTTGTGTACAGCAGACTTGTAAGGTTTGATAAAAGCTTGACAATTTTGAGAAGACATGTAGTAAATTCAGAATTATATTAAGCATTATGTTTAACTTCACAGTTACAGGAGCAGTCAATCTTACCGAGTCCATGAACATTGCTATATTCAAGGCTTTTTTCTATATGTAATTTTTTCATTGGTTTATTGAGAGTGAACTGGTTTTAAGCAATGACTGTGTGTTGACGGGTAAAAAAATTAGTAAACAGTGGATTTTCACTGCAAAAAAAAAGGCTGTGATAACAAGTGTTAAAGTGTGGAATCTTACACTGTGCAATAGAGGTGGGAATTAGTGCAAGTTGGTAATTTCTTAGTTATTAGGCACATTTATTGATTACATTCAACTTATACTTGGCTAGTTGGAATAATTAGAAATAAGAATAACTTAAAATACTTATTTCATATATTTGATTATTTTTGTGAGCTGTGACGTTAATCAACTAAGTTGAATAATGCTGAATTAATCAAAAATGATAATGAGAAATCATAATGATGGTATTTCAATTACTTGGATAGTTGAAATAATCAAAAACAGTAATAATCAGAAACACTAATTTCATTTAGTTGATTGTTATCATGATATTTAAGCAATTTTGATTAATTGATTGTTTTACCTGACACTAATTGATGTAATCGATGCTCGTAGGTGATCGAGTTAATTGCCAGGTCCTACTGTGCATCTAACTATTAAGAAATTTTAGTTTATTGGTAATTTCTGTGAACAGTTTTATTTGTATAAAATCAAAGGTTTTAGTTTTTAACAAAATAATAAAAATGATGGATCTCTCACTATATTGTGAAATATTCCATTTTGTAATGTTTCTGGTCCCAAACATAAGAGTTGTTACATATGAAAGCCAGATTTGATTTGTGCTTTAATCAGCTATTTTCTGCTTACTAGTTAGTTTAAGAAACAATATATATAGAACTTGCTAGCTTTCTGAGTTTATGTAGTCATAATTTACTTTCAAGCAGGCTTTTTATTCACACAGTCAATGTGCATTTATAGATTTATAAACATCTAGGTTAGCTTTTCAGTGAATTGCTATATATTGCTAATATATATATATATATATATATATTTTTTTTTTAACTGATAAAGGACTTTTGCTTCGAACATCTGTACAAAAATTGGAGAAATGATTCAAGGACTTGCTACTCCCGTTAATGTAAAGTTAAAATTGTTAGCAGTTTTTCAGAATATGCACCAAGATGGTCAGACTGCTGCCATAGTAAGTTTATTTTTGTTTTTCTCTTCTTTAGTAAGTGAACATTTCTTAACTTATCTGATTTTTTGCTGATTATATTTGTTGATTTTATTCACTCTAACAGACTTTAAAGAAGTGAATTTAAGAAAGTTAAACTTAGATATTTGAGAATATAAGTTATATTCTGAGAATATTAAAAGAGCCATACAAAAAAAAATAACTGTATGCTCTTTAAAGTTAAAAATTGGCCTAATGAAATTCTTATCTTTCAAATAGATTTAATACAAATGAAAATTCAGTAATGCAGGCCAGAAATTAGTTGTCCATTTTTATTTTTTGCTAGAAGCACACTTTTTTATGGCTATTATGAATGGATTAGAAAAAAAAAGAGAGTAGAAAGATCATTAAAATTATTTCCTCAATTTGACAGACAGTTTTGGGAAAGTGTTCTTGTAGTTTCACCTTTTACTATATTTTTGGAGGAAATTTAATCCAAAATATAATATTGTTAAAGGTAAAACAAGTCTCTTAATTGCTTCATGTATTTCCACAAATTCCCTAATCTTCATGTGTTAACTATACTGTTTTCCATGCTTTTTGGCTTCTAAGTGCTTCCGCAGTGAAAGGTACAGGTTTAGAAAAGAACTGAGAAGAAAAAAAGAATAACTAGTACTACTACATTATTTTAAGACAAATTACATCACATTAGCTGAAGGCAATAATATTGCTGTTCTCTAAAGTTTTGAATTTATCTAATATAGGGCCCGGCATGGCCATGTGGTTAGGGAGCTCGACTCACAATCTACGGGTCGCGGGTTCGAATCCCCGTCACACCAAACATGCTCACCCTTTCATCCGTGGGGGTATCATAATGTGACGGTCAATCCCACTATTTATTGGTAAAAGAGTAGCCCAAGAGTTTGCGGAGGGTGGTGATGACTAGCTGCTTTCCCTCTAGTCTTACGCTGCTAAATTAGGGACGGCTAGCGCAGATAGCCCTTG